TCCTCTTAATTTCAAAGGATTTCTCTTGAGGCCATATACAAGAATAAAATCCTCTAAGATTTAGCGGATTCCACTAATATTAAAATTATTTTTTTTTGGGTGAAGATAAATCGGCCAAGGACGAGCGAAGGTAAAAGTAACATGGAATCAAAAACTCAAGTTAATAAATAGTTAATAAGATAGTTTAATATCGAGAAGTTAAAATCAATATGTTTCGACTCACAGAGTCTTCTTCAATTGAAGATATAAAAAGTCAATAAGTAAAATGTAAGTAAAAAAATAAATAACATAAAAATCGGATATAATAAATTAATACTGAGACATTAAAGTTAACTAACATAAAAAGAATATATCAAAGTCTAAAGCAATGGATCCTGTACGAATATGTCCGTTCCAACTACCGCTGTAGTGGTGCGAGAGATTAAACTCATACATACTAATAGCGCACGCAATGGTTTCCTTATATCGAACATCTTTTCCTTTTTTTGTGTGGAGTTGGGATCAATTGTCATTTGTTTCGCTGTTCTGGGAAGTCTTTTTTAGAGAGCCTTCTCACCTCCGTGTCGTTTTCGTAACGTTTTAAATGTGTAGACGCAACGCCGATCCAATATCTCCTAATAGTATATATATATATACAGGGTGTCCCAGAACTGGCGTACAGCCAGGTACCAGTGTATTCTCCGTAAAATTCTAAGACGAAAAGTTCTTTGCCAAAACGCGATCCGATAAATAGAATTTGAACGGTGAGCTATTGAAGTTCACGAATTGGCGCGCATGGAATTCGCGCGGTCAGGGTCGGCACGACCGAGACTGCAAGCGCGAGGCACTTCAAACATTTGCATCGTGTCATAATGTGTTTCTTATTACTCTGCTTTGCATTTAATTTGATTAATTAGTCAAAAATGTTTAAAATATATGATGAATTTGTTATAATAGTTTAAAAATTGTTTAAAACATGTACAAATAATTTAAAAATAATAAAAAATCTTTATAAAGTGTCAATATTGTTTAACGAACATTAAAATAGTTTAACAAATATCAAAATTATGCAATATTACAATTATTTTAAAATTTTTGTTATTGGTTTAAAAGATTTTTTTTAATAACTCATAACTGTATTAAAAATGTCAAAGGCGTTGAAAAATTCTGCAATTTGTTTTAAAAATGCAAAAATATTCAATACAATTTTAAACTAAGATCCAGCTGTGATCACGGAAAGACACCCTCTCGAAAGTACGCGCACCATTCGTGTATGTTTTTTTTATAATTAATATAAAATATTATTATTTACATATAAAAAATTGAAGGAAATATTTAGAAATTTAAAAAATATATTAAAATTTTTTTAACAAAGAATTATCTTTTCTAATTTTTGGTTAAAAAATATTTAAGTTAAATTTTAGTTTAAAGATAGAAGACTAAAATAAATATTTAAATATAGTCTATAATATACAATATGTCCCAAAAAAATTATATATGAAAAGTATTAAGCGTATTCTGCTTATTTTACGAAGCGGTCTTGAGTCCCTTTAAAAAATTTGGCCATATTTTGCTCATTTTACGTAGCGGGCTCAAGTCCCTTTAAAATATCGTGACAGTATTTTTCTAATTTTATGAAGAAGACTTGAATCCCTTTAAAATATCTGACCGTATTTTTCTTATTTTACAAAGAGAGCTTGAACCCCTTTAAAATATCTGACCGTATTCTTCTTATTTTACGAAACAGACTTGAGTCCTTTTAATTAATTATTAAACAAATGGTAATTTCTACGTAAGTCCCATTCGATTGTGCTGAAAGACGCCCTCGAAATGAATTCTGTTTTTCACATAAGCGGTTATTCTCTTATTCAAATTATAATTATTAATTATTAGTTATTTAAGAATACTTTTTATACTATTATTTAAAAATTAAATATCTTAGCAATAAAGCATCATAAAAATAGATTTTATAAAAATGTATAATATTATTTTCATACATAATTTTTTTGGCACATATTAAAGACTATTTTTAAATATATTTTTTAATCTTTTAATTAAAAATTATAAAATCTAATATTTTGTTAAAAAATTTTAATATATTTTTTATTTTTCTAAATATTTCCTTAAATTTCTTATATATAAATAATTATATTTTATATTTATTATTAAAAAATATACATAAAAAAAATATTAAATAATATAAAAAATAAATATATAATATAAAAATTTAATATATAATAATATATATATAATATATAAATAATATATAAAAATATATATATATATATCTATATATATATATTTTTTTTATAATATATAATATAAAATTTTACGTTAACTGTTAAGTATGTAAAACATTACATCTTTCCTAAACAAAAAATATTATTTTAACAAATAAAAATTGTCCAAAACGTATGAGATTATACAATTAGTTACCAAGTATTTGATTAGACATAGAAACATAAATATTTTTTTAATAAACCGTTTAAATCATCCAAAAGTGTATGCAGCAAATGCTTAATATGTCATTGTCTCTCCAAATAATATAAGTTTTATAAAACAGACTTAAAGTGACCAATGGGATCATATAGTGATCGAAGCAAAAACTTGGCGTGCCCGGATTGCATTAATTAATAAGATATGTAGATAAAATGCGGTCATGCCAAGTTTTTGAATCTATAATCCCATTTGTCATTTTAATCACTTTTAAGCCTAATGATTTCATATTTGTTTTTGGACAACTTTTATTTGTTAAAATAATGTTTTTAGTTTAAAAAAGTATATATATGTTTAACATAAAAATAACATGTTTGTCAAGGTTTTAAAAGTGTATGTTTAAAATATGTATTTTTATTATTGTTGGAAAGATAATTTATAGTAATCACCACACTTCTAGGGAATATTAAGTTTATCTATATATCGCGAGTATCCATTTGGTTTGACGTCATGTTCGTTCTCTTGTAGTTTGATTTATGCCCATCTCGATGTATATATATTCTATATTCTTCTTTGATTGATTGTAAAAGTATCCTCTATACGAGAAGCATAATATAAACGTGTTCATCATACATACGAGAAGCTGCTGTTAATACCTTCCCTATTCCGTAGTATGTGCCATAATTAACAATTATTGCCAAAATATTTAATATAATTAATAAATCATTTATTATCATCAATCAACTATTATATAAAAAAAGCATTGTTTTAAATAAATATATTATTATTATATATTATATACATTATTTTTATAAATAAAATTAATTAAAAATGTATTGTAAAATGGACAAAATTTTAAGTATAAAAAGATAAACTACGATAAAAATAAAATATAAAATTTCAGGAAATAAAATCTAATACTGTTAATGCAAGCTTGTTGTTTATTTGTTATTGCGAATTATAAACAAATACAATAGAGACATACAAATATAGTTCACATTTTTGTTTGAAAAAATATATAATAACATTTATGCATTTCTTGTAATATCACAATTTTATTGCAAAATTTTTCCCAATTTCTTCGTTATTTTATCGAAATTTCATTCCACAAAAAATGCAGCTATTTCATTTGCCTAAATAAAGGATAGACGTTTACATTAATGTGATGACAATTGTTAATTCGTATACATATACAGTTTGCGACTTACCATATCGAGTACGCGTTTCGTAAATTCCTTAAACGAAAAATAAGAAATTATTCTGTTTATATAAAAGAAATCCTGCTATAGCATATGCCTTAAAAGAACGATTATATGCTTAATATCACTAATATTACATACCATAAAAATTCAAGGTTTGGAAAATTCATGAACCTATTTTTTATGTATTATTTTAATTATTTTAATTATTCTTTAATACAAAATTGATAATAATAACAAGGAAACATATATGGACATATTTTGCATATACTTACATATAATTATAGTATATATGGCCTTTTTCCTTTTTTTCCCGGGATATTATTGGGCTCAGGTTCGGAGATGGCCTCTGCTTCCGCTTCAAGTGCGTGCATAATTGCCACAATAAAGATTATGGCAAAAGCCAATGATAGAAATGACAGATGCATCTCAATGCTTATTAAAACTCAAGCTGTATTAGTCCGTACGTTTATGATTTGCTAGCAACGCTAAGTGCTTATATAGTCCAAGAAATGCAATTTAAATATAACTTTCGTGTCTAATAGCTATTTAAATTTTCTATATATTATAAATATTTTATTACATGATACAAAAATATCTTCTATTTTGAATTATAAAATTTCTTTAATCTTATGCACGAAATATATGTATATATAATGTTAATGCATATTGATAAACTAAACAAAAAACTTTATATAATAAAGTCTGTTATCATGTTTATAAACTTAATAACTTTCGTATCTAATAGCTACTTAAGTTTTTTAAAAATATTTTATTACATGATACAAAAATATCTTTTATTTTGAATTATAAAATTTCTTTAATCTTATGCATGAAATATATGTATAATGTTAATGCGTACTGATAAACTAAAAAAAAAACATTATATAATAAAGTCTTGTGTTATCATGTTTAAAAACTTTTGTGTCTAATAGCTACTTAAATTTTCTATAAATATTTTATTACATGATACAAAAATATCTTCTATTTTTAATTATAAAATTTCTTTAATCTTATACACGAAATATATGTATATATAATGTTAATGCATATTGATAAACTAAACAAAAATTTTTATATAATAAAGTCCGTTATCATATGTTTATAAACTTAATAACTTTCGTGTCTAATAGCTACTTAAATTTTCTATAAATATTTTATTACATAATACAAAAATATTTTCTATTTTGAATTATAAAATTTCTTTAATCTTATACACGAAATATATATATATATATATATATA